GGGGGTGCAGCACCTATCCCCTTTATTTATTTGAGTGCTAGATTTGATATATGGCATCCATTAATTTTTGTCCTTAATTTGTGCATCAAAACAAATAGCTCTACAAAAGCATATATGTTTTCTCACTATTCACGATATTTGAATAAAAATCTACTTTTAACAACATCATATTTTATAACTTAAATTTGCATCCTTAAAACTCTTGGCTATCCTCCACTTGTTACATCGAGAAATTGAATTCAGCTTGAATGTATTTCGATTGGCATCAAAGTTTAAGATGCACATACAAATTGTATTCGAAGTCTTGGGTGACACGTGTCAAACAAACACCTAGTCCTGTCATTTTTAAAGAGTATTCTAGATTTGGAGACCTCTATCAGTCTACTAGACACCACTAGGGTACTACTTCCTAATTTCCTGCCTCTTTCTTCATGGTACAAAACAACAACCTTAAAAGGATTATATTAGGTCTCTTATAATGAATGAAACTTATGACCTAGCAGAACTTCAAGCTCCTATTATCCGACAAAGTCATCAATTGAAGAGAAAGAGGAAACTTCCAGCAAGATTTAAACACTTAGCATAGTGTTTTATATTTCTTGGCACTATGAACTAAATTAGATGGTTTTAAAATCTTTTTCTAGTTGAATGACTTGAATCTATTGTTTGTTATATTGGAACCAACAAACTCGATGAAATGTCGACTCTGATGAGTAGTTCTTATGGTTCATTACTTTGTAGATAAATCCTATATAAACAAAAGTAACAAAATTAGATTTATGCATTTCTTATCATGTTTGTTTGTGTCCCGCAACTTTCAAACTTCTGTTTTTCGGTCATTGAGATGCCCAAAAGTCTGTTTCTCCCAGTAACTGCCTAGGTAAGATAATTTGAGCAACATTGTGCATCAATATTTGCCTAAACAATCTACAAATTACATGAAAAAAGAGTGTAAGTGACATGGATACATTTCACCGGATAAAGAAACTTATGATGTCCAAAATCAACCTAACCAGCTAAAAATAATAATTGAACAACTAAAAGAATCAACATTGAGCACATGCTTGGAAAGAAGAAGAACAAAAAAGATTACCAGTCATAATCAGATTTATCATTGTCAGCATTAAGGAAATCATCAGCACGAGTCCTCCGAAAGGGTGCAGCTGATGCAATATTAAATGCTGGTGAACTACCATTTTTTGATCCTAACACATAATTGCAACAAAATAAAATAATTATCATGAGCTTAGGTTATGAAGCACTAATTTACACAAAGATGTTGGCCTACCAAGGATATCAAATTCGTCAGGTTTTTGAAGAAAAAGATTATTATTTCTTTCTTTTTCCCTTCTCCGCATTTCGAGAAACAGCGATAGTTCCTCGTCTGAGCTCCTAATACTCCCCATTAGCGGCTGCCTCTGCCTTTGCCCAGATTCCTCTGCTCTAAAACTTCTATTCATTGCAAAATCCCTAGTCCAAAATACTAAAAATAAGCTCCAAAAACCCTAGCTTTTCTGCAAACATTCAAAATACAAAGCTGCAGATTAGGAACAAAGCTTCAATAAAAAGAAAATCAGCTCAAAATGAAGCTGCATTTAACAATCTTCTTCATACACAAATCTTCTAACCTTTTGCTACCTATAAGGAACAGAATAATGTAACACCTAGATAGAAAAAATTACAAGAAATGGAGATAAAATTTGCTATGGTCTATGTATATGTAGTACTGTAGTAGAGAAGTATAGAGATTGTTTCAGGAAACCGGGCATTGTTGTAGAGAGAGAAGATTTTGAAGATGGGGTAGTTGGGTGAGGGGGGGAGTGTGTCGTGGGGAGCAGTGTTATTTGAAACTTGAATTTGGGAGACGTTTTGGGTTTAGAAGACTTTTTACTTTTGGGGTTTTTCAGACATCAGATTAATGAGAGGGCAAGTCACGAGTCATCTTGTTCTCTTTGGAGGATGTGATGTTTCATTCAAACAATTCCATTTCACCGCCGGATAATAACAACATCACTTCACTTCCCTTTTTATCTCGCTTAATACCTAAATTGACACTTATACTTGTTACGGATTTTAAAATTAATTCCAAAATTTTCTCTTTTTTCCATTTTAACACTCTTACTAAACAAAACATTGATAGTAAACACCTCACGCTCAAGAGTGTGTTTCACTAGTAGGGGTGCTTATCGGGCGGATCGGGCGGATAATTACACTTAACGGTTCGGCTTAACGGTTATCGGATTATAAATGTAGTAATCTGCTAGCCATCCAATAAGATTACGGGCGGATTGGTATCGGATTAACAATTATCGGGCGATTATCGGACATCTTATCGGCTAAACCAAATAATTTTTTTTTGAACAATCATTCAATCAATATCAAGACTACACATACTATCATTACACATATTAACCAAATTTGTAAAACCAGAAAAGCACATTCGTTCAGTAATCAGTCAAACTTTCAAAAGGACATTCGTTCATAATCAATCAAAAGGCAAAAGCTGCAGCCTTCGCCCTCAAAACTCTGACGCTTAACTTAGCTAGAAGCTGTAATTCGATTTTGTAATATGCAAATAGATAAAGGTACAATATGTGGGAAAAATCAATATTCATATAAAACTGGGCAGCCACTTGTAATTGAATCAAGAAGTTAGAAAAAGAATTGTAATATACAAATAACAATGGGTACGAAAGACAGATAAATAATGGTACTTTATATACATGGAGGTAAAAGTGTAAATATAAAAATTCTTAACGGGTTAACGGTTTATCCGATAAGAAAATTGAGTAATCCGCCTCCAAACCGTTAAACCGTTAATTATAAAATCTCAATATGTTTTCCATCCATTACCCCGATAATCCGATACCAATAAGCCAATAAGGCATCGATTCGGTTGGGTTAACGATTTCGGTTCAGTTTTGAACAGCCCTACTAGGGTGGCATTTTTGATTGGATTATGAAACCTCACTTTGGATTTTTTATTTTTGGATTTAATAAATTATAATCCAAATTCAAGCCAAATAAATTTGAACTGGATCAATTTTTTAAAATTTGGTTTCGAATTAATTGGTTTGATTATTTCGATTTTTTTATTTTGAATTTATAAGTTAGGCTTCTTCTTTTTATAAAATAAACATATAAAATAAAATATTCATATCAAATCGACTTAATAATTCCTCATTAATTTTGAAATATAGTATTCATGTTTGAATCATCCAAAGTAAAGTTTTTTACAAGACGCTTAGTAATGAATTGTCACACCCCGAAATCGAGGAGCGCGATCGACGCTCAACTGAGTAAACCCAGTCGAGCAAGCCTAATTTACATTAACCTCTCATCATTACTCATGCATGATTTACCATAACATAATAAGATCTTGACTTTCATATTAAATACACTTGGCTATGGCCCATATTTTCTTTCTCGTGGTGGTTACACAGCTCTATAAATACCTGTAAATACTGTGAACATAAATACATGACAAAACTCAAATCTTTAATTACATGACCCACGGTGTACATGGAGCTTCTATGACAATAGATACCTAAGTACATAAAACCAACTAGACTCGAATGCCCACTGGAATTGTAGCGGACTCACCATAATCTGATGCGCAGAAGATCCCTACCAAAGATCTATATCATCCTGTAGAAGTATACCTGCATCCATTAAAAGATGCAGCGCCCCCGGTAAAACGGACGTGAGTACATGTGGAATAGTACTCGCATGTAAGGCAAACAGAACAACATATGAAATCATGGTAATTCAAATAAAAGTCATATGAAGTACATCAAGAACTACGAAATATCCCATAGATTCACATTTCAAGTCTCGTTATGCTTACATCATTTTAAACTTCGTTTAAGATTAACTGAGCCATATGAACTATGCGTGGAATACATAATATAAAGTAATTGAAACAACATGTACAAACAAGGCCAATGAAATGGCACATAATGCCTGCATTAACAATGCGTCTTACTAGACCGTCCATATCCCTCTCTTATCTTACCCCTATGTATTTCATAGACCGTCCTTAGGGTTCACATATCATATTACACACCTATGCGTTTCATAGACCGTTCATAGGATTTCATACACAATATACCTATGCATTTCATAGACCGTTCATAGGATTCACATATACCATACGATACACATGTGCGTTTCATAGTCCGTTCACGGTGTTTACTTACACAATACACCCGTGCGTTTTATAGACCGTTCACAGGATTTCAAACACAATACACCTATGCGTTTCATAGACTGTTCATAGGATTTCATACACAATACACCTATGTGTTTCATAGACCGATCATAGGATTCCATACACAATACACCTATGCGTTTCATAGACTGTTCATAGGATTTCATACACAATACACCTATGTGTTTCATAGACCGATCATAGGATTCCATACACAATACACCTATGCGTTTCATAGACCGTTCATAGGATTCACATATACAATACAATACACATGTGCGTTTCATAGTCCATTCACAGTATTTACATACACAATACACTCGTGCGTTTCATAGACCGTTCATAGGATTTCATACACAACACATTTATGTGTTTCATAGACCGTTCATAGGATTCACATATACAATACAATACACATGTGCATTTTATAGTTCATTCACAGTGTTTACTTACATAATACACCCGTGCATTTCATAGACCATTCATAGAATTCCATACACAATACACATATGCATTTCATAGACCGTTCATAAGATTTCATACACAATACACCTATGCATTTCATAGCCCATCCATAAAATTCACATATTATACACCTATGCGTTTCATAGCCCGTCCATAGGGTTCATACACATCATTATGCACATAACCATATATAAACTCAAAGCGACATGATTAACATTACATTAAAGTCGTAAGTTCCTGGATCATTGGAACACTTCATGTTCATGGTCATCATGGAGAAACATAGCTCATTACATTAGCACATGCATGGTGAATCAATAAGTCAATTTCTGTAACACCCCAAAAAATTTCGAAGTACTTAAGTGTAAAGCTCGGTAAAATTTACAAAAGAAAATAATGTTTCGTGGTGCCAATTTGGGCTTACGTGTTTGAGGAAGTGGGCCACGGCTCGGACTTTTTTGGGTTGAATAATGCACCGGAAAGTAAAAAAACAATTGGCGGAAAAGGACGTTTATGCGGTCTATTATGCGATCGCAGAATCACTCTGCGGACCGCATAATGGTCGCAGAGTGAGGCAGTTAATTGGGCCAGTGGAAAGCAATTATACGGTCGACTATGCAACCGCAGAACAGTTATGCGGACCGCATAGTGATCGCAGACACAGACAGATATTTGGTCGTTTTGGACACCAATTATGCGACCGATATATGGTCCGCATAACCATTATGTGATCGCATATGCGACCGCAGAACCTGTTTCGGAGCTCCATTTTTGGATTTTTAAAACCCGAGCCTACTTCGTTAAATACACGCAAAGGGTCATTTTTGAGCAAAAATTCTGATGTTTTATAGAGAAGGGAGAGTGTTTTAGAGAAAGAGAAAATCCTAGGCTAATTATTCATCAAGTCTTGCTCAAATCTTGGAAGATTAACAAGGAAAACCCACAAGTTCTTCATCTAAGAGGTAAGGTTCCATACCCTAGTTTTTAATTTAGAATTTGGAAAAAACGATGATTGATTGGGAGCGTGATTCTTGGGTATGAGGTTATTATTTATACATGCATATATCAATAAGATTTGTGGAAAGATTGTTGAGCTTAAATAATTAAGGATTGGGTTGTGGAGTGAAGAAAATCTTGTAGAAGAACCTTGTGGTTAAATTTGCACACCTAGTATTCGATAAAATACTCAAACGAGCTGAGATCATGAATATCTTCCTAATAATTGTTCAATTTTTGTTATGTCTCAAAATAGATTGGGATTGCTAAGAATTTCCGGAACACTTTAGAGTTAAGGAAGCTCGATTGAGGTATGTTGGCTAAACTTTCTCTCTTGGAATCGAACTCCATAATGTTCCCGTGAGTTTTAAAGTATGGGTTGCGTATTAAAATGTTGTGGCTTTGAATCGTATTTCAAATGAAAGCTAGTATGCCAAATTGTGTGAGAAAATCTCAATATACTTAAGACTCTTAGTTACTCATATGTGTACCTAAAGTCTTGATTGAAAATTTCTTATTGTTGATAACCTATAAAGATGGTTGAAAGTGAAATCAGTGAATTGGGGATATAAAGTGTGGCCAACGTGCTAATAGTGAAAGTTATACTTGTGGCCAATGGTGCCAATGAAATGAAATAATGTGAGAAAGATTATGAAATGAGCTTTGACTCAACTATTCCAAAATTGACTTCGATAATATAATTGGCTAAAGGCTTATGAACTCAAGTGATGCCCATATGTGGCTGTTTTAGCTAATGCTATGCTTTGTAAGTCTTTTTCAATGTGTTTTGCGTTCTTACATATTCGTGAGTGGAAATTGTGTATGATTTTAACTTATGCTTCGATTGTCAATCATTTTACTCCATTTATTGGAAAGAAATCTATTGTGTTTAAAGCCTTCATTACTAACGAACTTAAAGTTGTGATTTCCGAAATATTCTACTTGTTGATAATTTTGATGATGATCTATGAAAGGGAAGAAATGAAAGTGTGGAATATGAAATACGACCATTGCGCCATGAATAAAGAATAATATGTATGGCCAAGAGAGCCAATGAAATAATAATATTGTAAGTGGTTGAAAGTACGGATTAAGTGATATGTGGTGTGAAAGGTTATGAGATGTACGTATTTGTACTTTGTTTCCAATGTGTTATGAAACCCTATGGACGGTCTATGAAACGCATAGATATATTGTGTTATGAAATCTTGTGGAAGGTCTATGAAACGCATAGGTACATTGTGATATGAAATCCCGTGGACAGTCTATGAAATGCATAT